GGCGACTTCAGAATATCGAATTTTTCACCAGGCCCGGTCGTCCTGCCAAATTTCATGAGTTTTCGCCAGTGGGAAGTGGGCCATTTTCCCCTTCAAAGGGGAGGAAAAATAAGAAGAAAGAAAGAAAGAAGAAAGAAGAACCCATACAGGAATAATAGGACTCTACGCCCGGCTGCTCTGCAGCTGGCTCGGGCCCTAACAAGTCCAGCAACAGCACAGTTTCGTCCGGTGTGGCTGCTGCGATCACGTCCACCTCCATCATGGTTCCCTTTGGTTTAGTCTTCATAGTCTTTGCTGTGCATTTCTACCGCTCACTGGTCAGCCACAAGACGGACAGACAGTTTCAGGAGCTGGAGGAGCTTTCTAATCTCACCAGGCTACAGAATGAGCTGGACAACAGGGGCGAATCTTCTATCCTGCAGTCTCCTAGCTCAAATTTCCCTTAGACAACAAGTATGTTGGACTCATGGTGGAACTCTGATTTCCTGAGATTTCTCTCAAGTTAGAAGCGGCATTTTGGCTTCTGTTTTTACAGATGTATCACCTTTTTGTTGTGAAATTGTTCTTTTATGTAAAGAGTTGTATTTTTAGAACACGTTTGATAAACTGTGAACTCACAAATTTGCCATTACGCATGTAACTTAAATTTGAAGTCTTAACTGTGACAGCTGTTTGATTTCTCACTTAATTTATAGCACTCACAAAAAAAAAACATCTGAACAATAACTTGAATCCTGTCTGTTGCCTGCTATTTATTAACCTGTTTGTCTACTATAGTTTTTCTGTTGACACATAAATTACCTGGCTGTGCAAACAGAAAGTATTTAACCTCTTTTTGTTGACTATATACCTGGTTTATTGTAAAGTTCACTTCATGAATGTAAGGACTGCCATTTGTGTAGACTGATTGCCAAAACTCCAGTATTATTAAAGGATACATGCTGACATCTGTAGCACAAGCTTTGTTCCAAGAATGAACACTTTTCATTTTGTAAAGCATCCTGAAATATGTAAATATATTCTCTATTTGTGCTATATATTTTTAATTTTTGACACAGGTTGGGCAAATCACACCTGGAATATTTAGTAAATGTGAAATTTTTTGTCTCATGAGCACATGAGACTGCTTGTACTTGTTAATAATCTACACCAGTGCTCTCGTGCTTTATTCTGTAAAGCCTTGGTGCCCCCTTTGTTTTTCAAGCACTAAGTTAGCATGTCGTTTTTATCAGTCACTCTTGACACATGAAGTGCACTTAAGTAACAGTGATATTTCTTCAAGATTACTGTTACATAGTAGGATGTTTTGTTCTCACATATTTAGAGAGACGAGTCAGTCTGGGTTAGTAGCCTGTGCTGGAGGTGCATGTAGACTGTATGTAGATGATGTCCAGGAGTGGTTTTCAGTCAAAGTAATGGGAAGTTGTGGGGCAGATATGGCATTATAACTATTTAAAAAAACAGGGTTAAATCTCTTGGATTTCATAATGAAACAAAAAGAGTAACCATTACTGGTTTGTGTAAAAAGTCATCCCTGAATGGCACTCACTGTGAAGGGTTTTTCTATACCATCCTGTAAATTACACCTACTGACCCCTACCAAGCAGTTACAGCATTTTAATTATAGAAAATTTCTGACCTTTTGCGAATGAACTCGTTTGTTTTGGTTTAGGCATCACTATAAATTTTGTTCTGTTGAAATAGACATACTTGAAATTGAATCACAGGAACTTAAAACTTAGCTGCATGATCCATTTATACTGGCGTGTAACATGATGAGCTTTTGTACCCTTGCTCTGTTTGTAATGTAACAAAGCAGTGTCATTTTCATCAGGTTTTTCCTTATAAACATAATCTAATATTCAAGAAGCTTCACTAAGAGCTTTGGCAAACTATTCAATGATAATGAAATTTAGTGTAAACCTTTTATTGTCATGCAAGGTATTGTATTTAACCATCTTTTTGGCAGTAAACTAAATCAGTGTGTTATTTCACTTATCTTTGTTTTTCAGTCCATTTCAAGTATTTCTCTGATTTTTTTTTTCACTAATAACAAACAAGTGATTTAGCTGAAAATATTCAAATATGAACACACAAAATGAAATTATGCCAATTTTATTATTTGGCAGTAAATGTACGGCAGAGTGGAAACTTGCTATCGGTCTTCCTCTTGTCCCTCTTCAACTCTGGTAAGGTAGGCTGACTGGGCTTCCCTTAGAACCAATTGCATGTCGACCAGTTGAACCTTGAAAAACAAAGAAAAGCTTCATTTCTTCACAGTTACGCCAAGAGAAAGAGCTTTATTACAAATGTTTATTTGATTTGTCACACAAGGGCTGAATTGTAAACGGATCTGTGACTGTGTCATAATGAAAATGTTGTACCTGTGGGATTGGGTATCTTGTCGATGCAGGTGCGTCATCTCTTCCAAAATCAGACAGAGTTCCACATTTTGCAACCCCATCCACCCAAAAACCTTCATAAAGTTGACCTTTGTCAGAATGATAGAATTTCCCGTTTCCATTTTTCAAGCCATTTTTCCAGGTGCCTTCATACCAGTTTCCATTCACTCAAGAAAGGAGAAAAGTCAAATGTTAGATCTACAAACATTGTCACACTCAATTTCTAATCCATTTTAACTGAAAATGTATGATAGCAAAGTCTGCTTACAAAATTGAATGATGCCTTTTCCATGATTCTTATCCTTCATCCACTCTCCCTCATAGATGTCTCCATTCTCATAGAACATTCTTCCCCAGCCACTCCGTTCGTCCTCACTCCACTCCCCCTCATAAACTGATGAGTGACTGAAGAAGTATGTCCCATACCCCTAGAGAGAAAGGTAATGATTAGCGATATATGACACAGGCAATGTAAGCTCAGACAACAGGCATTATTGATGTTACAGTGTATATAAATAATAGTATTTCAATACATGCTTCTTTCCATTCTTCCATTCCCCACAGTACTTTCTCAAGTACTCCTTCCTTTGAGGGAGAAGCACACTGTAGGTACCATATCCATTACGTTTTCCGAATTTCCACTCTCCATCATAAATCATTCCAGACTCCTTCCAAACCTGAGTTCCCTTTCCTAAAAGACACATTAAAAGTGTAAATGTCATCTATTACATAGCAAGTACTTCACATGTTATAACTAGGTGACCAAAGGAGTTGTGGTGGAAGAAGCCGCTCACCATGCTTCTGGTTGTCTTTCCACTCTCCTGTATATTCATTTCCATTCACAAAGAACACAGTGTGCCGTAGTCCACATTTCCGTGACTTGATATCCAACAATGATGATCGTGTCTGGTTTTTTGCAGCTGTTTTAAGATATGGCATGGCTGAGTGGAGATGAAAAACCCTAAAACATAAATGTCTGGTTATACTCATAAATCAGCAAAGCTGGTCCAGTTTTTCTTTTGACTGAACTATAACATAAAAAGGGAGAAAGAATGTTAAGAGGATGAGTTCACAATGCTGACGGTTATCTAATGATTTTTTTTTGCATCAAAATCAGACTTTGAATTTCAAAGCACGCATTATTTTTTTTCCACAATGATGATAAATTCGGTTTAAAAAAAAACAGTCTCTCAAATTATTCGTGTAGTAAAAATTCGACCTAAAATAAAACTGTGTAAAAAAAAAATTCAACATAAAAAATTTTTCAGTGTCAAAAAATTTTGTGTAAAACAAACTGACTCAACATCCGCGTAATCAGGGAGAAGCAATCGATTTCTCAATCTTCCACTGGGGTCGGTGCCACATGACCAATCTAGCTTTAATTGATTAGCTGGACGATGGATGATTGAGCCAGGAATCGATTGCTCTCCCTGGTTACCTGGATGTTGAGTCAGTCTGTTTTACACTAAATTTTTTGACACAGAATTTTTTTTACACGTTTTTTTAAGGTAAATTTTTACTCAACAAATTTTTTGAGAGACTGATTTTTTTTTACACTGAATGCATATCATCATTGTGAAAAAAAGCGTCAGAAATAAAAATGCATGCTTGAAATTCAATAGTTTTGAAATTCAAAGTCTGATTTTGATGCAAAAAAAAATCAGCTTTAGAAATTCAATTTCAAAATCAGATGGCACAGATTTACTTCCATAAAGAAGCATGCGTTTTGGTATCCAACACTTATTTAGTTTTTTAAAGATGGTGCAATTACAAAAGCTTCAAGGAAAACTACTTCTACAGAAAAATATGCAGTGAAAATTTGGAGTATACTGTGTTTACATTAGCAGCTTAGCTTAAAAGTCACTTTCCGTGCTGTAACATCAGCAAAATACCTTTAATACCCATTTAAAGCAACGTAAATGTACCTTAACGACGTCCCCAAGCGAATTACTCACTTCAGCTAAATCGACGCGGGCTATGTAACAGAGGAATAAACTAAGATTACAAAAACAGCTCAAATCAATGTGGGTTAACAGCAGGTTTGAAAAATATATGATGTAAACAAACAACAAGAGAATATGGCATCAAAGGAACAATTCCGTGATGACATCATTATGACATCATCACGGCTTTCATCTCGTGTTACTAACTGGAAGTAGAGCAGCTGTCCAGGGTATCGTTTGAACCTTTCAGCGAGTAGCTACACTTAAAGAAAGAGACAATCGAAATCTTTTAGCAGCGGAACTCTGAGACTACAAACAGTCAAAGACAATGCAGCGACCAACAAACCGACCCAGGATTAACAGGCCCTTCTACTTGAGGGACAGAGAGATGGAGACACTCCGCAGGACTGTGGCTCAGCTCACTGGACAGCTGGAGAGTGAGAAGAACCGAACACTCTTGCTCAGCCAGGAGTTGGAGGTGACTCAACAGAAGCTCACTGGACAGCTGGAGAGAGAGAAGAACCGAACACTCTTGCTCAGCCAGGAGTTGGAGGTGATTCATCAGAAGCTGACCAGGCAAAGGGCTCTCAAGGAAGTGTACATTAACAAAGGGAAGGAGCTCAAAAAGGAGCTGCAGATGCTTCAAAAGTACAGCTCAGAGGAGACCCTCTCCAAACACAGAATTGCTCTTAAGGTGAGGGACACGAGCCGGCAGAAGAAGAAGAAGGATCTTCATGTCGATTACGAGGAGCTGAAGGTGGCACATATTGTGGAAAATGAGAGGCTCACAACACAAGTCCAGGAACTGACTGAAAGAAACACGGTCCTCCATGAAGAACAGGAGAAGACAAGAACCTCATACCAAGCACTGAAATTCCAGTATGCAACTGATCTCACTGCTGCGAAACAGGAAGTTGAGACCCTTCAGCGTGAGCTGCAAAATCAGGCTCACCATGATGGACTCTTACAGGAACAGACCATCCAGATCCTGAGAGCCGAACAGGACTCCATGACGGAGAAGATTGCTGTTCTGCAGCAGGCAGCTTTTGAAACAGAGAGGAGGCACTGGGCTGAGCTGGAGGAGCTGAAACAACAGCTCTACATCCAGACAGCCGGTATGATGGACAACAAGGAGCTTAAAGTGGCCCAAGAAACCAGCTTTAACAATGAAAACAACAAAAAAACAAATGAACTCTCAACTGAGCTTCAACTTCGAGAGACAGGCATCAGGCAAAGTGAGATGACGCTTCAGGAGCAGGACTTCATGGACATGGACATCGAGCAGTTTTGCATGGAGTTGGAGAAAACTGCAGAAACTTCTGGAGCTGAAGAACTGGCAGGAGCTTTAGAAATCGAAGTGACTGCTGGATCTCCAGAACTAGTTGGAACAGCAGGACCAGCAGAGACACCAACCTCTAATGCCACCAAACCACCTTCTTCAGTCTGGAAACAAACAAGACACTTCTTGGGGTTAAGAAAGCCTGAGAAGTGGAAGAAGAAGTAACTTCCTCGAAGTAAGGAAGTACTTTAAAAAAAAAAAAAAACTCTTCAAAAAGAGATCTCAAAAAAAAAAATAAAGAAAGAAAACCAAAAAAAAAAAAAAATCAATCAATCAATCAACTTTATTTCTATAGCACATTTAAAAGAACCACAAGGGTAGCCAAAGTGCTGTACAGTGACACATAAAAACAAATAAAACAATCAAAGAACCAGATAAAGCAAGCAGAAATACAGTAATGCAAAAGAATAAATAAGTGTATAAATAAGGAGGCTCACGGCAAGTGCTAAGATGATAAAAAACAAATTAACACTACAATGTACTAAAAGCCAATGAGTAAAAGTACGTTTTTAAAAGGGATTTAAAAACAGAAAATGAGGAGGCCTGTCTAATTTTCAAGGGCAACTCATTCCAGAGCTTAGGGGCAGCAGCGGCAAATGCTCTGTCCCCTCTGAGCTTCAGCCTTGTACTGGGGACGGTCAGTAAAAGCTGATCAGCTGATCTTAGGGGTCGGGGTGGGCAATAAGGCTGTAGCATCTCCGAAATATAGGGTGGAGCAAGGTTGTTCAGGCCCTTAAAAACAAATGCTAAAAGCTTAAAATGAATTCTGTACTGAACAGGGAGCCAGTGTAAGGACGCCAGGATGGGGGTGATGTGCTCACGCCTGCGGGTCTGTGTCAGGAGACGTGCAGCAGAGTTCTGCATAAGCTGCAGGCGGGCAAGGGAAGCCTGGCTAATCCCTACGTACAAGGAGTTGCAGTAATCAAGACGGGTAGTGATAAAAGCATGGATTAATTTTTCCAGGTCAGGTCTTGATAAAATGGGCTTCACCTTCGCTATTTGGCGTAGCTGATAAAAACTTTTTTGTACCACCCCGCTGATCTGCTTGTCAAATTTAAAATCAGGGTCAAATTTAACTCCCAGATTAGTGACGACCTCTTTAAGGTAGGGTGAGAGGGAGCCTAGGTCGAAAACCCTTAAAACAGGCAGAAAAAAGAGAAAACTAGGGCCCCGGTGGGGCACTGGCGGGCCCGAGCCGTGTCGCGCCGCCCCCAGCGCGACTGCCTACCCCTCCCGATTGCGTCACACTCAAGGTCCAAAGATGGTGCGCGCACTTGTCTGTGGTCATTTACCATTATAATGAATGGGAGGCGCAGTTTCTACCAAAACGCTCGCTGCAGACAAACTCCATGTCCTTTTTGAAAAAAGTCTGGACCATGAGTGAGGGCACAAACACAGCTAGTATATATCCAAATGGCAAGTTGCTCCTCCTTTCGGTTTTGCCGAGAGAGCGATGCGTTTGAGCCATTGAGCGATGGGCAGGAAAAACTTGACTTTTTCTCCTGCCATGGGGGGGCGCTCTTTTGGGGAGTAAAAATTCCTTCACAAATGTGTTGATGGCTGGACATTGCATCATCCTAGAAAACTTGGAGGCCAGTGAGGGCAAAAATAAAAAGTTATAAGACTTTTAAATATGTGGATTTTAGGGTTATTTTTGGCGCCCCCTAGAACCTAAACCGTGGGGTGCAGCGTCATGATTTGAATAACTTTTAATGGCCATGGGGTGTAGATTGGCCTGAGCAAATGTGGTGCCGGTGGAACGAAAGCCTTAGGAGGAGTTAGCGAAATTCCAATGTGTGCGGATCGGCAAAAAATGCGAAATAGCCCTTTAACCGTACATTTGACAGATACGCCCGCCCTGACTTTTTTGTAGATCTTATTGAGATACATGTGTGTGTCAATTTTTGTGTCAATATGACAAAGCGTACAGGCGTGACACTCGATAGTGTGAATTTTCACCTTAGGGGGCGCTATGGAGCCATTTTGCATATTATTTTTTCGGCGACTTCAGAATATCGAATTTTTCACCAGGCCCGGTCGTCCTGCCAAATTTCATGAGTTTTCGCCAGTGGGAAGTGGGCCATTTTCCCCTTCAAAGGGGAGGAAAAATAAGAAGAAAGAAAGAAAGAAGAAAGAAGAACCCATACAGGAATAATAGGACTCTACGCCCGGCTGCTCTGCAGCTGGCTCGGGCCCTAACAAGTCCAGCAACAGCACAGTTTCGTCCGGTGTGGCTGCTGCGATCACGTCCACCTCCATCATGGTTCCCTTTGGTTTAGTCTTCATAGTCTTTGCTGTGCATTTCTACCGCTCACTGGTCAGCCACAAGACGGACAGACAGTTTCAGGAGCTGGAGGAGCTTTCTAATCTCACCAGGCTACAGAATGAGCTGGACAACAGGGGCGAATCTTCTATCCTGCAGTCTCCTAGCTCAAATTTCCCTTAGACAACAAGTATGTTGGACTCATGGTGGAACTCTGATTTCCTGAGATTTCTCTCAAGTTAGAAGCGGCATTTTGGCTTCTGTTTTTACAGATGTATCACCTTTTTGTTGTGAAATTGTTCTTTTATGTAAAGAGTTGTATTTTTAGAACACGTTTGATAAACTGTGAACTCACAAATTTGCCATTACGCATGTAACTTAAATTTGAAGTCTTAACTGTGACAGCTGTTTGATTTCTCACTTAATTTATAGCACTCACAAAAAAAAAACATCTGAACAATAACTTGAATCCTGTCTGTTGCCTGCTATTTATTAACCTGTTTGTCTACTATAGTTTTTCTGTTGACACATAAATTACCTGGCTGTGCAAACAGAAAGTATTTAACCTCTTTTTGTTGACTATATACCTGGTTTATTGTAAAGTTCACTTCATGAATGTAAGGACTGCCATTTGTGTAGACTGATTGCCAAAACTCCAGTATTATTAAAGGATACATGCTGACATCTGTAGCACAAGCTTTGTTCCAAGAATGAACACTTTTCATTTTGTAAAGCATCCTGAAATATGTAAATATATTCTCTATTTGTGCTATATATTTTTAATTTTTGACACAGGTTGGGCAAATCACACCTGGAATATTTAGTAAATGTGAAATTTTTTGTCTCATGAGCACATGAGACTGCTTGTACTTGTTAATAATCTACACCAGTGCTCTCGTGCTTTATTCTGTAAAGCCTTGGTGCCCCCTTTGTTTTTCAAGCACTAAGTTAGCATGTCGTTTTTATCAGTCACTCTTGACACATGAAGTGCACTTAAGTAACAGTGATATTTCTTCAAGATTACTGTTACATAGTAGGATGTTTTGTTCTCACATATTTAGAGAGACGAGTCAGTCTGGGTTAGTAGCCTGTGCTGGAGGTGCATGTAGACTGTATGTAGATGATGTCCAGGAGTGGTTTTCAGTCAAAGTAATGGGAAGTTGTGGGGCAGATATGGCATTATAACTATTTAAAAAAACAGGGTTAAATCTCTTGGATTTCATAATGAAACAAAAAGAGTAACCATTACTGGTTTGTGTAAAAAGTCATCCCTGAATGGCACTCACTGTGAAGGGTTTTTCTATACCATCCTGTAAATTACACCTACTGACCCCTACCAAGCAGTTACAGCATTTTAATTATAGAAAATTTCTGACCTTTTGCGAATGAACTCGTTTGTTTTGGTTTAGGCATCACTATAAATTTTGTTCTGTTGAAATAGACATACTTGAAATTGAATCACAGGAACTTAAAACTTAGCTGCATGATCCATTTATACTGGCGTGTAACATGATGAGCTTTTGTACCCTTGCTCTGTTTGTAATGTAACAAAGCAGTGTCATTTTCATCAGGTTTTTCCTTATAAACATAATCTAATATTCAAGAAGCTTCACTAAGAGCTTTGGCAAACTATTCAATGATAATGAAATTTAGTGTAAACCTTTTATTGTCATGCAAGGTATTGTATTTAACCATCTTTTTGGCAGTAAACTAAATCAGTGTGTTATTTCACTTATCTTTGTTTTTCAGTCCATTTCAAGTATTTCTCTGATTTTTTTTTTCACTAATAACAAACAAGTGATTTAGCTGAAAATATTCAAATATGAACACACAAAATGAAATTATGCCAATTTTATTATTTGGCAGTAAATGTACGGCAGAGTGGAAACTTGCTATCGGTCTTCCTCTTGTCCCTCTTCAACTCTGGTAAGGTAGGCTGACTGGGCTTCCCTTAGAACCAATTGCATGTCGACCAGTTGAACCTTGAAAAACAAAGAAAAGCTTCATTTCTTCACAGTTACGCCAAGAGAAAGAGCTTTATTACAAATGTTTATTTGATTTGTCACACAAGGGCTGAATTGTAAACGGATCTGTGACTGTGTCATAATGAAAATGTTGTACCTGTGGGATTGGGTATCTTGTCGATGCAGGTGCGTCATCTCTTCCAAAATCAGACAGAGTTCCACATTTTGCAACCCCATCCACCCAAAAACCTTCATAAAGTTGACCTTTGTCAGAATGATAGAATTTCCCGTTTCCATTTTTCAAGCCATTTTTCCAGGTGCCTTCATACCAGTTTCCATTCACTCAAGAAAGGAGAAAAGTCAAATGTTAGATCTACAAACATTGTCACACTCAATTTCTAATCCATTTTAACTGAAAATGTATGATAGCAAAGTCTGCTTACAAAATTGAATGATGCCTTTTCCATGATTCTTATCCTTCATCCACTCTCCCTCATAGATGTCTCCATTCTCATAGAACATTCTTCCCCAGCCACTCCGTTCGTCCTCACTCCACTCCCCCTCATAAACTGATGAGTGACTGAAGAAGTATGTCCCATACCCCTAGAGAGAAAGGTAATGATTAGCGATATATGACACAGGCAATGTAAGCTCAGACAACAGGCATTATTGATGTTACAGTGTATATAAATAATAGTATTTCAATACATGCTTCTTTCCATTCTTCCATTCCCCACAGTACTTTCTCAAGTACTCCTTCCTTTGAGGGAGAAGCACACTGTAGGTACCATATCCATTACGTTTTCCGAATTTCCACTCTCCATCATAAATCATTCCAGACTCCTTCCAAACCTGAGTTCCCTTTCCTAAAAGACACATTAAAAGTGTAAATGTCATCTATTACATAGCAAGTACTTCACATGTTATAACTAGGTGACCAAAGGAGTTGTGGTGGAAGAAGCCGCTCACCATGCTTCTGGTTGTCTTTCCACTCTCCTGTATATTCATTTCCATTCACAAAGAACACAGTGTGCCGTAGTCCACATTTCCGTGACTTGATATCCAACAATGATGATCGTGTCTGGTTTTTTGCAGCTGTTTTAAGATATGGCATGGCTGAGTGGAGATGAAAAACCCTAAAACATAAATGTCTGGTTATACTCATAAATCAGCAAAGCTGGTCCAGTTTTTCTTTTGACTGAACTATAACATAAAAAGGGAGAAAGAATGTTAAGAGGATGAGTTCACAATGCTGACGGTTATCTAATGATTTTTTTTTGCATCAAAATCAGACTTTGAATTTCAAAGCACGCATTATTTTTTTCCACAATGATGATAAATTCGGTTTAAAAAAAAACAGTCTCTCAAATTATTCGTGTAGTAAAAATTCGACCTAAAATAAAACTGTGTAAAAAAAAAATTCAACATAAAAAATTTTTCAGTGTCAAAAAATTTTGTGTAAAACAAACTGACTCAACATCCGCGTAATCAGGGAGAAGCAATCGATTTCTCAATCTTCCACTGGGGTCGGTGCCACATGACCAATCTAGCTTTAATTGATTAGCTGGACGATGGATGATTGAGCCAGGAATCGATTGCTCTCCCTGGTTACCTGGATGTTGAGTCAGTCTGTTTTACACTAAATTTTTTGACACAGAATTTTTTTTACACGTTTTTTTAAGGTAAATTTTTACTCAACAAATTTTTTGAGAGACTGATTTTTTTTTACACTGAATGCATATCATCATTGTGAAAAAAAGCGTCAGAAATAAAAATGCATGCTTGAAATTCAATAGTTTTGAAATTCAAAGTCTGATTTTGATGCAAAAAAAAATCAGCTTTAGAAATTCAATTTCAAAATCAGATGGCACAGATTTACTTCCATAAAGAAGCATGCGTTTTGGTATCCAACACTTATTTAGTTTTTTAAAGATGGTGCAATTACAAAAGCTTCAAGGAAAACTACTTCTACAGAAAAATACGCAGTGAAAATTTGGAGTATACTGTGTTTACATTAGCAGCTTAGCTTAAAAGTCACTTTCCGTGCTGTAACATCAGCAAAATACCTTTAATACCCATTTAAAGCAACGTAAATGTACCTTAACGACGTCCCCAAGCGAATTACTCACTTCAGCTAAATCGACGCGGGCTATGTAACAGAGGAATAAACTAAGATTACAAAAACAGCTCAAATCAATGTGGGTTAACAGCAGGTTTGAAAAATACATGATGTAAACAAACAACAAGAGAATATGGCATCAAAGGAACAATTCCGTGATGACATCATTATGACATCATCACGGCTTTCATCTCGTGTTACTAACTGGAAGTAGAGCAGCTGTCCAGGGTATCGTTTGAACCTTTCAGCGAGTAGCTACACTTAAAGAAAGAGACAATCGAAATCTTTTAGCAGCGGAACTCTGAGACTACAAACAGTCAAAGACAATGCAGCGACCAACAAACCGACCCAGGATTAACAGGCCCTTCTACTTGAGGGACAGAGAGATGGAGACACTCCGCAGGACTGTGGCTCAGCTCACTGGACAGCTGGAGAGTGAGAAGAACCGAACACTCTTGCTCAGCCAGGAGTTGGAGGTGACTCAACAGAAGCTCACTGGACAGCTGGAGAGAGAGAAGAACCGAACACTCTTGCTCAGCCAGGAGTTGGAGGTGATTCATCAGAAGCTGACCAGGCAAAGGGCTCTCAAGGAAGTGTACATTAACAAAGGGAAGGAGCTCAAAAAGGAGCTGCAGATGCTTCAAAAGTACAGCTCAGAGGAGACCCTCTCCAAACACAGAATTGCTCTTAAGGTGAGGGACACGAGCCGGCAGAAGAAGAAGAAGGATCTTCATGTCGATTACGAGGAGCTGAAGGTGGCACATATTGTGGAAAATGAGAGGCTCACAACACAAGTCCAGGAACTGACTGAAAGAAACACGGTCCTCCATGAAGAACAGGAGAAGACAAGAACCTCATACCAAGCACTGAAATTCCAGTATGCAACTGATCTCACTGCTGCGAAACAGGAAGTTGAGACCCTTCAGCGTGAGCTGCAAAATCAGGCTCACCATGATGGACTCTTACAGGAACAGACCATCCAGATCCTGAGAGCCGAACAGGACTCCATGACGGAGAAGATTGCTGTTCTGCAGCAGGCAGCTTTTGAAACAGAGAGGAGGCACTGGGCTGAGCTGGAGGAGCTGAAACAACAGCTCTACATCCAGACAGCCGGTATGATGGACAACAAGGAGCTTAAAGTGGCCCAAGAAACCAGCTTTAACAATGAAAACAACAAAAAAACAAATGAACTCTCAACTGAGCTTCAACTTCGAGAGACAGGCATCAGGCAAAGTGAGATGACGCTTCAGGAGCAGGACTTCATGGACATGGACATCGAGCAGTTTTGCATGGAGTTGGAGAAAACTGCAGAAACTTCTGGAGCTGAAGAACTGGCAGGAGCTTTAGAAATCGAAGTGACTGCTGGATCTCCAGAACTAGTTGGAACAGCAGGACCAGCAGAGACACCAACCTCTAATGCCACCAAACCACCTTCTTCAGTCTGGAAACAAACAAGACACTTCTTGGGGTTAAGAAAGCCTGAGAAGTGGAAGAAGAAGTAACTTCCTCGAAGTAAGGAAGTACTTTAAAAAAAAAAAAAACTCTTCAAAAAGAGATCTCAAAAAAAAAATAAAGAAAACCAAAAAAAAAAAAATCAATCAATCAATCAACTTTATTTCTATAGCACATTTAAAAGAACCACAAGGGTAGCCAAAGTGCTGTACAGTGACACATAAAAACAAATAAAACAATCAAAGAACCAGATAAAGCAAGCAGAAATACAGTAATGCAAAAGAATAAATAAGTGTATA